TGAGAATTGACATGTTCTTTCTATCCCACCAATTCCTTAATCTAACCACTCACTGCTCCCATGGCCCGATAACGTGATCAGACCACGCACCTCTGTCTCTTGCCATCACTATCCTGTCCCTTCACCCCTCCAGGGCTCAGTGGGAACCAGGGCCGGACTGGGGATACAAAGCAGCCCTGGAAAAAAAATTTGTGCCAGCCCCATAAGTCACTGCGCCATATATTGTCGCGTGTAATATGTAAGGCTATGTCTTGCCAGGACAGATGATTGAGTAATATATATATATATATATATATATATATATTGCTTTTTCTAATATAAAATATTGGTCCTTTCAGGGTAAAACGTTTAATTATACAGTAAGCATATGCACATGCAGACACAGGCAATTTCACTGACATTTCAGTGACACACACAAACTCATTGATACACAGCCTCATAGACAAACAATCTTACTGATATACATCAGCTCATTGACATAAAAACACAAGCTCACTCACTAGCAGGCACACGCATGCAAGCAAGCTCACTCACTAGCAGACGCACACACACAGCTTAATGTGGTGGTACTGGTGTCTATAGCATGTCCCTACAGGCATTTCAACGTAAACACTGACTTTTCAGACAAAGGCAGTGTTTACATTGCTTCAAAGTGACACTGCTAGTGACAGTCACTCAGACGGTCACTAGAGGTGCTTCCTGTGTTAGTGCCCTCCCGCCCTCGCGCGCTGCTGAATGAGACTGGCGCCGGAATATGGCGTCATATTCCGGCGCCGGTCTCATTCAGCTGCGTGCTGGGGAGCAGAGCCAGCGCAGCTCGCGCAGCTCCCTCAGCGGCCGCCAGGACAAGTCCGCCAGCGGCCGCCAAAAGACCTCCCCAGCGGCCAGGGGAGGGCTGGCAGCCTTAGGCCTGGGGGCAAAACCAGTCAAGTAGACTGGTGCACCTGCCCAGGATCAGAGCCGGTGCAAGGATTTTTGCCGCCCTAAACAAAATAAAAATTTGCTGCCCCCACATGTCACATCACAATGCCCCACCCATATGATCTGCCATATGAACTAACGCCAGTGCTGCACACAGTGTGTGTTTACATTAAAAAGCCTGCAGGGACCAGCTATAGACACAAGAACCACTTCATTAAGCTATAGTGTCCCTTTAATGTGAGGTAAATTATAGATTAGTGTCACTAATAATATACTAGATTGCCTACTTACAAACAGATGAGGGATGATGATGGGCTGCAGTTTGGCTGGTCTGGTGTAGAACAGGATCTCTGGAGGCTGTTTGCAACTGTGGTCACAAAATTCAATGTTCTGGGAGAATTGGAAGCAGCTCATTTTTGGGGGCCTTACACAGCTCAATGTCTGGGCCCCAGGGCCTGGCGGTAGGTATACCCATAAAGACCCACTCATAAGTTCCATGAGTTCGCTCACAGGGGGGTGGAGTGTGTGGGGATGTGTTATGTGTTATTGTAGGGGATCTAATATGTGTGCTTATGGTATGTGGTGTTTAGGGTTACCAGTTTATTGCAGGTGATACCAGTGTGTTTATTGTGTAGTGGAAACTATTTGTGTATAAGGGATGTATTATGTGTTTCTGGTTGTGTGTAAGGGATGCATTGTGTGAATCTGTGTTTGTATGCATAAGTGATGCAAGGTGTGTGTCTGTATGTGTGTGCATGAGATGCATTGTGTTTCTGTGTGTATGTAAGAAAAGAAGTGTGTGTGTTTGCATGCGTGTGAACGGGTTTGCATTGTCTGTTTCTGTGTATGTGTGCAAAGGATGCATTGTATTTGTGTGTAAGGGTTGCATTGTGTGTGTGTGTGTAATGGATGCATTGTGTGTTTCTCTATGTGTAAGGGAAGCATGTTGTGTTTCTGTGTATGTATAGGGATGCATTGTGTGTGTGTGCGCGTGTAGTGTGAAAGAGCTCCCTGTCTTGGCCCCTGTCCTATAGAGCTGCCTCTTCTTCTTATTCCCCCTCCTCCCCTCTTCTTATTCCCCTCCCTCCCCTCTTCTTATTCCCCTCCCCCCTCTTCTTATTCCCCCCCTC